GAAGCATCTACCGAGACGTGGATGTACAACTTTGACACTCTCGCCTGGACAGCGTTGCCGCCTTCTCCTCAGCCTCCTCTCGCGGCCACGTTCGTGGATAATGTTCTTTATACCATCGGGGCTGACTCTAACATGAGCGGTGCTATCCACTACATGGACCTCAAGTCAAACGCCGAGGACCGCGAGAAGCCCGACGCTCTTCAATGGAAGACCATCAACTTCCCTACCAACCCACTCACTCCGGGTCCCCGCCCACGCGAAGGCGGCGCACTCGTGCCAGTAGACACTGGTCTTGGCAGACACTACCTCGTCTATATGTTTGGCACGAACAGCACTTCAGCCGAAAAGGACTTCTACACTGATATTTGGGCCCTTCAGCTCCCCACTCACGGCTTCAGTGCGGCCGCTGTGAAGGATGCGATCCGTGACAAGCTGCCTCGTGTTGATTCTGGCGAGTTCAGCTGGGCAGAGGTAGAGCTCATTCCGACAGAGGAAGTCAAGACGGAGGGAAAGGCGCATCCCGGACCACGTGGATACTTTGGCGCAGACGCAGCGGATGGAAAGAGTCTCGTCTTCTGGGGCGGCGTCAGTGCGCTGGGCAAGGAGGGCGATGGATGGCTGCTTCAGGTCCAGTGAGCAGTGCCTGATTAATAAATGTGTGGAGGACATAGGAAACAAGATTCCCCAAAAGTGTATTAACGCCTCAAGGTAGTCAGGACGACCAAAAGAAACAAAACACCTTCATGTTAGGCAAGCTCCTATATACGCGACCCCTTTGATAGCGAGGGACACGCCTGTAAGGACTATGGTCAGCCGGCCTTGTCAAGTCAACTAAAGTCTCATTTTTGCGTGGCTTTGCAAGTTTCTCTCAAGACTACAACAATCCTTGCCGGCAAAGGGGGTATTCTGGACAGGGGCCTATTCTGCCGCTTCATGGGAGTTGTGCCCTTAAGGGGCCAGTCTGCTGGTTTAGTACTCCTTCGTTTCACCAGTTGTCCCTATGTATGCCAAAGTTCCCCTTCTTCTTCTCTCTTTTATCGCTAGTGATGGGCTTCCTCTAGTCTTTGAGATCTCTGTTGGAATCGCTGCTCTATCCAAGAAAGACCGCTCTGCAAGCATAACAGGCTAAGATAGAAGAGGTAGGGGCGCACTTGCCGTCAGGTCACCATGAACATTGCATTGTGTACACGAAGTGGTATCTACCCGGGGGGCTACTGCCTAATTAAACAATATCTAGCAAGTAGGAAGGACGAACTCTGCCGTGCGAACTTTCCCTTCTTCATAGGAAGGTCAGGCCTGGCTTCCGACCTCTCTCGTTTCTGTCTTCTACTGAGTTATCTTCAGGGCGACGCTTGACCACGCATCTTCCATCTACATCAACTCCATGCATCTGTCTCAGATCAACACAATACAAGCATTGCAGTACGACGAACCCACTACAAAAGACTCGCCCTTCTCCATCACTATGGGTGCCATCTTCAGCCGCCAGCCGCGCAACCGCCAGCCGCGCAAGATCACGACAGAAAACGCCACCAAAGATGTTCATTCCGATATCGTGTTCACCTATCTATCAGATTCAGGACAGACGGATCTTTCGAAAGTAGAATGGGAGGCTATACTGTATATCAAAACCAAGGATCTCAAGCAAGTCCTGCAAAAAGGCCTCATCATCTCGGAAGACAACGTTCAACCCCAATCCGGTTGTATCACGTTCAAAAAGTGTCCCGGTAATCTTCGAATCAATGACTGGGTCCATACCCGTCGGTATATTTTGTCTGGCAAATCGTGTGGCGGATGGACGGCGCATCTCGCGGTTGGGGCGCGCGAAATCGGTCCGCTTGCGAAATTTCGAATGACCGATCTCATTGGCCATGCGGATATGGGTGAAGCTATCAATGAGGAGTTACAATTGGTGTATTGCTATGATGCTCAACTTGGGGTGTCTGTCTTTACATGGAGTACGGATGAGGGCTCTGAGCCATGGTGGCCTATGCTGGTTACTATTCTCCCGCGGAAGACAGAGGTTTTGGCGTCAGGGGATGACGTGAAGGACAATGCTGCTGGTGTCGGGGAGCCGGTAACTGCATCTGGCGGAAAGACCAAGAAGGGCTAGATGCACGCTGACTCCTGCGAGGACTTGAAGAGCTAGATCACGGAAGTGATGCATGACTACGACGATGTTGAGATGAGGTAGGAAGGCCTCTTCCCCAGCGCGAATACTCGCGTTGGGCTTGAAGATGATGACGATGAATCGGCGGTACGGGTGGTATTGCAAATCGTAGTCATCACATGTAGACATACTTAATGCAACGAGTCTCAGTCATCAATGTATCAAGGCCTGGCTAAATGTAATCGGGCGGTCAAGTGGTTGCTTGACTTGGGGTTTCGTAGAACAAATGGCCCATTGAAGCGCAATCCCTAGACTAGAGTCGATGATGCAGATGACACAAAATAACAGGGCTAAATCCATCCTTGCCTCTCATCAGTTCCAGGCGAGGCATCTAGTCTCGCCTTCACAGCTTGGAACCCCTAAGGAAAGCGATAAGGCACCCGCCTGTGTCACGAACTCTAACGTGATTGAGTGAGTAACTTGTAGAATCGATGTTTTCTTCTTCTGGTTAACCTGCTTGGGGGTTCGTTGTTCCACGGTAATCTACCAAACCTCACTTTCTCAGCCCGCCATCCGTCTATGAGCATCATCCAGCAACTCGCGTCTCGTCTCCTAGTCGAGCGCGTCGTACTGGACGTCCGCCGGCCTCGCCCTATCCGCAATCTTCTTCTCAAGCTCCTCGACATGCGCATCAATCTTGGAAAACTGCCACGGCCAGTTGACGACGTACAAGAACGGACGGAGGTCGTGGCGGTTGTCGTCGGGGTTGTACGCCGAGAGATGCGGCGAGGGCGTAAGGATGACAGCCTTGTGGCGGTTCATCGAGTAGAAGCGGAAGAACCTCTTGACGCGCTCGCCAATCTCGCGGGGACCGTAACCGGGCCTCTCCTTCCAGTCTCCGAGGAGCCGGAGGTACGTTGACCACGGGCCGAGCTTGTGTACTTTTCTCAAGATACCGAATTCGGAGAGTTCGCTGGGAAAATGGTCAGTGTTTTTGAATCCATGACTGGAGACGTCTGGTGTCCTCACCTGTAGGTCAGACCCATCTCTGTGTCTGCCTCGTCATCTTGGACTCCGGCAGAGAGAGGAAGAAGCTCGGCTGACGGCGTAGCCTCGAGGAATTCGGACATTATGGGCAAGTCCCACTGATCCCTGGCCCAAACTTGGAAGTTCTTGGCGTCCGTTTTGGAGATACTTCCTAGTGGCGCGATATCTGCGGACGATGCGTCGCTGGCATTGGTAAGCTTAATGTGCCGTATGCACATGCGCGTGGGGTTTGAGGCTTACTATTTGGTGTAGTAGCCACGCAGGTTCTCGTCGACATTGCCACTTCCCAAGACAAGAAGCGCTGCGCCGGCTCTTGGGAGTTGCCTTGCAGTTGTTGATAGCTGTGCCAGCTCGTACTGAACAACGAGGCGGTTTCTCGCCTGAATGTTTTGGCGCGCAAGCTAGATCCACTGTCAGAACCTCGGACATCTTCACACCCATCTTGCCGGGAGGCTACTCACATTTTCGGCGGGACTACCACCTTCGACACCATAACGAGGTTTGAAGTTGAGTGTCTTCTCAATGATCGCCTCATGAGCTTGGACCGCCTCATCGATTGAGATGTCGGAGTGGTAAGCCCCGAGTACCTCTGCGAGGCGGCGGGCTCTTGTCCGAGTATCATCTCCAGAATTGACAGTTCCCATGTAGCACGAGTGCAGCAGGCGCGATACAACTTCCTGTGGTGTCTCAGGCATGAACGTCTCGTCGCCAGTGATGCGTCTCAAATCATCCAACGTCGACATCTCCCCGGCCTCAATGGACTGAAGCACGAGTTTAGCCATGCTGTAGACGAAGAGCGCGACCGTCGAGGAGTCCAGACCTCCACTCAAGGCGAGGAAGTAGCCAGGGGAGTTTGTGCGGCAGAGGTACTGCCAGAGGAAGACCGCTTGCGCCAGTGCAATTTCTTCCATGGGGTCGAGGATCTTAAGCTCGATTTCCTTTGCAATCTGCAGGTGATCTAAAAGGTACACTTCATCGGCGGGCCTCGTCAGACGCAAATCACAGTCGACTCTGGGGAAGTCGGGTTGGGCAGCAGCCTGCACGTTTCGAGAGATACTGGAGCGGTAGCTTCTGACTTCTTCCACAGAAATTGTGGCGGTGATGACTTCAACCGGCTTCAGAGAGAATTGGGAGGATTGTGCAAAGACCTTGCCATTGGCGAGCACCATGCTTGATCCGTCAAACTGGACTCCGAGTCAGCTACTGGAACATGTCGGCCAGTCGGTGAATAGATACCAGCATGCGCGCCTCACCATCGACGCCAGTCGCGTTGGCATATACATAGATACCACCAAGTTTCCGCGTCGAGTTCGAGATCAGATCGAGTCGTGTCTTTAGCTTTCGCAGCTCGGCATGACTGGCACTGCTGTTCAGGATGATTTCGGCGCCATTGAGGCCGAGAAACGTCGACGGGTTGAGGGGCGAGAACATTTCCTCGCAAGTTTCACAACTCACGGCAGTGTCGAGCGTACTGAGGATCAAGTCACCAATGGGAACCGTCTTTTGCCCGGTGACCGCGGCGGCCACGGCCTCTAGATAGTAGGTCTCGACCTCCCGGAGCTTCGTCCATGCCGTGAAGTGCCGTGCTTCGCGGTAAAGGCCATCGTTGGCCAGGCTTTGCTTGTTGGTGTGAGTCCAGGGGTTCCCAAAAAGGAGGGTTGAGAGGGAAAGCTTACCTTTGGCCTGATGAGATAGATGTGCTTGTACGTGCAGAGAACGCGGCAATTATAACGGACGTTGCGATGGCGGCATCCCATACCAAGATCAATCAGCATATCCTTACATATGGGATCGCTGATGATCTCAGCGAGGACTTCCCAACTGTGGAGGAAGGTATCACCTGGCGGGCTATTAGCCCATGCTTATCCCTATAGGTAACTTCTCGCAACGCTCGCCAAGGTTTGATTGTAAGTACCTTCAAGGTGATGGTCAAGACAGCCATAGCCAGGAATCTCCAACTCTGGGCCAGTTCTGAGCGTAGCACCCTGAGCCTTGGCGATGCGAATGGACTCCAAGATCCTGTCACGGTTGCCCTTGAAGTCCAAGGGAACACTGGGCAGGGTCGCTGCCGCCACGGTAACAAATGACATGGCAACGACTGGTGGGTGGCCGAATGCGGTCCGATATGAGATGGCGGACCTGATCCGTAGGTGGGACCCAGAGACGGAGCGCAGGAAAAGTGCGAATGGGTGGTTGCGGACGGTGGTGGCAGCCAAGGGAGAAAGTGATTGGTTGCAGCGAGTGTTGTTCGGGGACAAAGTTCACGTCAAGCAAAGCAAACGCCCGGGGCGGGGTTCCGTGGCAGGAGTTGGGACACTGGACGGCACGGATGTAATGCTCACTTGGCAATAGAGGGATACGAGGGGCACCAGGTCGGAGTCACTGATGACTAAGATACGATAAGGGAGATGGCGGGGTTCCATTCGATGGTTCGGTTGTGATAAGATAAGACTTGTTATCGGTTCAAGCACAGGCGCTGGCTCCCCGGCTCTGAACGGCGGGACCCAAGCACTCCAAGCTCCATCTTTCCAATCCATCTGCTCATGTGTCCCTCCGCTCATCAAGCCCTATGCACTTTTTCTCCGCGGTTCCAAACTCAAGCTTTGAGCAATACGTCCGTCAGAGTTCGTGCATCGTCTCCAACCATTTATATCCACGCGATACATTCTTTTCATGTCGTCTTCTCATGTCGCCTGTCGTTTATATATAAAGGGCGACTCGTCGCTTGGCGATGTCGAGGTTTCGATGTAGTTGTCTGGATTGGGGAAGGTGTCTCATAGTCGAATTCCGAAGGGTCGGCGCATGTTGTCTAGAGCTTAGATACAAAGGCTGCAACCACCATGCTCATCCTGCTTCGACCTGCCGCATGTCCGTAAGTAAAGTAATTACAAGGAGCCAATTTTCTTCACATACACTCTCATTCATCCTTTTCACACCTGCTCATCTCAAACGTTGTCCGTATCTTCTTCAAACGGGGAACGCCGGGAGGGCGACGAGTGAGGTGGCCGGTGATCACTAATGCGGATCGGAGCGGACTGGAACGGGCTGGCGACTATCCGTAAGGTAAAGTACCTAGGTGGAGGAGAGATGGCCGGGACATCCGTAATTGGCGTTGTGGGTTTGCCGTGCCGCTAGTGGATCTGGTTCATGCTCGCATCATGCTCGGGGTTGTCGACGTCTTCGGGACGGCGGATGGTCCAACTGAATCATCAGCGGAGGGGAATCTTCCATACTCACCGGATCATCCGAAGGCGAGGTCGCGAAGTAGTCAAATAGTGCAGTGCAGTACGTTTGGGTCTTTTCACATTGGCGATGGAATTCAAATTGCTGTTCCGAGCGATATCTGGACAGTGGCGTAGGACGGCGTTTCTGATCGAACAGGTGACGGGGGCGTACGGAGATGGACATGGTCTTGCTGAGCGCGCTTGGGACTGTGGGGTCTTCACGGCGGGCGGAAGCGAAAGCGGGGAACGAGGAATGCCGGCAGGGCGTGGAAACGTGCGATGGAGAGAGCGAGCGAGAAACTGAAAGAGAGACAGAAACGATGCGGGCGTGAGGATGGACGTGTGAAGCATGCGAGACGAGACGAAGTGAGACGCTAAGCTGGCGCGAGAATGTGGGGAACGTGACGACATGCTGCTACTGTACTGTTGCTTCGCCTAGCTGCAGTTGGGGTTGATATACGCGCAATGTGTCTGTGACTTTGCCAGAGTTGGCTATTGAGAAAAGCAGGTATAGAAAGAGAAAGACGTGGAGCAGGTCATGGTGGGATGCTCTGGAGAAAGGAAACAGAACAACGATGGACAAAAGCTCGAAGCAGGACAGAACACTGAATCAACGCAGACATCGTGCAATCCGTGAATGAGAAGAAATGATGCCAGAAGTCAGTGGGAAAAGAGAATCTGTCGGGATCCGCATGGCTTATATTGAAGGTGGGATCCTCGAGAAGGGGGAGCAAAGGGGCCAAGACGAAGCACGGAGAGGGTGGTGTGAGCTGTGTCACTGTGTCACAGTGAGGAAATGGTCAAACTCTGGCGATTGAGGGCAGGCCGTCGATTCGTTGCTAGCAGAAGCCCCATCGAAGCATATTCACGAGACCAGCAAATCACCTCTCTCGTCTCAGATGCCGTCTGTCATCGCCCATCGGCAATGGCTGTCTTGGGTGTCACTAGCGAACCATTTTCCCAATTAACTCTCGAATGCTGTTCTGGTTGCTGCCGTGCTGTCTTGGTGTCGGCAGGTTGGGGGGTGATGAATCAGGTGAGGGATGGGCTGTTTTGTGGTACCACCGTATCCATACTGCGTACACTGAACGGCGAGACCCACCACGGGAAACCGGTTCGCTTGGCTCATTTTTGCAGCGACGGGTCGGAGACGGTGGTCTTACTGCTGCTGTGCTCCGTACAAACGCCGAGCTGCGCTTGTGTCCCTGTTCCGCCTGTTCCTGGCCCTGAATGTGTGCCTGCTTTCAAGGCTGGGGATCTTGCGTAGAATCTCTCTTGCGAAAAAGAAGCATCAAGATGATCTCGAGATGCCCTCCTCCCACGCATTCCTCCACACGCACACACACACACTCTCCCACTCTGCTCCTGATGGCACCCATCTTCATCGCTGCATGTAGGTAGGTAGCTTGCTTAGGATGAGACGGGAGAAGTGGGCCCGACCGTCGCTGAACCGTCAGACTGCAGCTTCAAGCTCTCTATTTTGGCCCTTTCCCCAGACTTTTTACCCCAGACTTTGCACTTCGGAGACCGCACTAAAGCCGATCTGTCAGGAAGTCCCCTCGAGTGATTGTTCGACCTTGGCCGCGCCATGCCCGTTTCGGACAATCAGCCAACCAAAGCAGTCGGACCATCTTGCTCACACAGTCAGGTAATTAGGTACCATTTCCTCGAAGTAGGAGTGAAGGCAATGAGAGAAGAAGCAAGCGGAGGGTTTCTATGAAGAGTTAAGGCAAGGCAAGAGAAGATTGCATGTACTTTCCTCGGCGTGAAAGTGGTACCTTCCAGGTTAACCTCACATGAGCCCACGGAGGAAGGTATCCAGGGCCACAGAGAGAGGAAAAAGAAGGAGCTCCTGTGGGTTGTGGTTCTCTCTTTCCCTGTCAGCTCAGGTCTGCCCCCTGGTCCCTGCGCTGCGCCTGGTCCCAGCCCGGACCACCCGTCACCTGCCGCCCGTTCCTCGCCGTCCTCCCTCGCAGCAAGTCGCAGGCCTGCGCGCATCTCATGAGCTTCTATGTCACGCGATCGTCTGGCGACGCCATTGATGGGCAGTTACCCCGCCCGGTCTGACGAAACCGTAATGCATCGACAATGGAATGGCTACCACTCCAAGGCCGATGCAGGGAGCTTGCTGCTTCTTTCCTCAGTCAGGTAAGTAAGTACCTAGCGAGGTAGTGAAGTACCTACGGCTTGTTCAGCTCCAGCTCTGGTCCGACAAAACCGACCACTCCCAAGACCCCAAGCACCACTTTTTCGTCTGATACGTACGAGTACACCCCCAAGCCAGTGTACATCTCCAAGTATCCTCCCGCGCCTCACTCTGCACATCGTAACATCAGATACCTCTTCTCGATACTTCACTTTTGACGGACCCCTCACTTTCCCTCGTCTCCCTTCTCCTCTCCTTACCTCAGGCCGCACGCCAGGTCAGGCGCCCGACCGGATCGACATTCATCTACCTCCGCTCCTGCCCCCTCCCTCTCTGCCCTTCTTAATCCCCTCCTCATCCCACTTCTCCTCCGACCATCCATCTCACAACCACACATCACCTGTTCAACAAAGGTAGCTACCCTTTACCCCTTTCCTTCCTAATCGTCATCCATTGAGAGAAGCACAAGAGCTCCTGTTCCTGGACCTCGGAGCTTGAGGCTTTTGAGCTGGAGCTGGAGCTTGAGCTCCAGCTTGAATTGGCATCATGGAAAGCTCCCTTAGCTAACATGCCATTCAGATTCCAACACACAACACGATCACCTTTGATCAAACACTTCACACAAAACGACTGCTATCATGACGGAACCGCTCACCAAGGTCGACTCAGCTGTCGAGGGTCTCTCTCAATCACCACCCAAGGAGTCCAAGACTCGCCGCCAATCTTCGGCCGCTGCACCTGGCGTGTACAACATCAAGGACCTTGGTACGTCACTGTCTCAACCCCGCACTTGACTTGACTTTGAACTCGGCTACTTCGGGACACGACTAACAACACAACAGAGGAACAAAAGATTGAGCTTGAGCTCGCACCGGAAACACAACGGACAGGATGGTAAGTTGACATTCATTCAGCACACATGGTTAGCTACGTTGCCTACCGTGGACTCCGGTGGTTACTGTCGCTACACATTGGATAACACAGGCTGACCCTCAACAGGAAGATTAACACTTCATCATCGCAAGTTGAGGACAAGGAAATCCTCAAGCTGCACCTGTCAAAGCCCCCAGTCAAGAAGATTGACCTGCACTTCCCTCTCGGTATGGAAGTAACAGCACGCAACCTCAAGGGAGTAACAATAAAGGATGCCCTGGACGCCATCCACAAGGCATACAAGAAGAGAGTAAGTACACAACGCCCCGTGTGGTATGACCTTTGCTAACAAGGGTGCTCAGTCTGACGATGAGCTCGACAACCCGTACCTGGCAGGCTTTGAATGGGACAAGGAGGAGTCCTGGACGCGCCTGGTTGTTCACCTCCAGAAGAACCCCGCAATTGAGAAGATCGGCGGCGGTGGCGGTGGCAAGAAGAAGAAGAACAAGAAGAACGAGGGCGAGGAGTAAACTTCCCTGGCTCTGCTTCTTCGGATCATGTCCAATACTTCCTGGTAAAACTGCTTGCTTCGCTTTGGCTCAATAGGCGACTTGGCGCAATGGGATATTGCGATAGATATCGTCGGATGATTGTCAATGGGTAAGGGTCTCTGCTCTGGAGCTTGATGCTTCGAGATGTATAGTTAGGTGGGTTATGAAGTTCACGCTCGATCGAGCGGGGTGTCTGGCGGTGATAGCTTGGGTACCCAGTTCAATTGACTCGTTGGCCTTCCACTTGTCCATCCATTTGAATTTGAGAATAATGAGTGAGTATGAATATTGTCAAGACCCGAGTTTGGAATGAAAACGACGCTCAGTCGAGAGAAGTGTGTAGTTCGAGTGAGTGGGTATGAATGACAGTCCATTGCGGCTGGCCTGCAGCTATCGTGACCCACTCTCCGGGGAGCAAGGGTCCTGCACGCCGCAGCTCCGTAGCGGCTTACCGTGGATTCCATGTGAAAGCCCGCAAGCCCGTATGATCCTGACTGGATAATGATTTGTACCGTGGTAGACTAGTGTTGACTTAGAGCTTGAATCATTATCAAGAACTCTTCAGACAAAAGATGAAGACAATAATGCTGAAGAACCCATCAAACAATCAGGGGAGAGACCCCTCACTTGTTCACGGGGTACGGATGGCGGGGTAATCTCATAGCGCACTAACATGGCAGTGCTATGCTTCACAACTAACGTTGTTACTACGTCAACGTCTCTATATGGGATGCTTTTGAACATGGAAGATGATGGCCAACTCTCACTTGATGTAATATCCTCTTCAGCGAGGATGTGAACCATCCTCGGCAATGCTCAAACCACTTGGCCTCCGATGCAAGCTCTTGAGAATCGCACGATTAAGCGGAACCAACGGCCGGGGGTATCTTCCTTCAAAAGCACATCTGACGGTGCCCAAGGTATCCTGAGTACCTAAGCTTGTCGGAAATCGGAATTGAGAGGTCCAAGGTTCATAGGGAGCAGAGCACGGACCCCGGCTAACATCGGCAGACGCCGCGTCTTGCCGCACCTTTCCCTCTCACACAAACGCGGAATATGATACCGGCGCAGACAAGCTGCCCGCCCGGCTTTGCGAGGAATTGGATGGCATTTCACCCAAACGTCATCCAGAAAAGGTCCGCGGGGGAGGAGGCGGGGAGGACGGCAGTGATATTTGAACGTCGTGTATCCTCGAAGGCAACATTGGTGTATCATAATTTCTTATCTCCTTCATCAATCAGCCTTTTGCGCAAGACCATCAACATCACCAAATCTTGCGACTTCGTCCATCTTCATAGCCTTGCCCTCTCAAACACTCAAACAAAAACCCGTAGCAATGCCCGTCACAACGTTTGATTTCAAGGAGAAGTACCGCTACCAGGTCGGCTTCGACTCACATCTAGAGTACGTTTACAACCTCACTTTCCCAATTCCCCGTCTTGGTTTACCGTCCATCCCTGTCTCTCCCACAATCTCTCCCCCGGAATATGCTAACATCTCCACCTTCTCCTCCTCCCCAGATCCGAAGCCGTCCCCGACTCCCTTCCCATCGGCCAAAACGCCCCACAAAAGGCCCCCCACGGCCTCTACGCCGAAAAGCTCTCCGGAACCTCCTTCACGGCACCACGCCACGACAGCAAACAAGCCTGGCTCTACCGCATCCTCCCCTCCTGCGCCCACCACCCGTACGCCCCGACAACAGCTCCGTCTCCAGAGACCCGTGCCCTGCCCTCCGCGCTCCAATACATCCCCAATCAGCTCCGTTGGGACCCCTTTGACCATGATGAGTCCAAGGAATGGGACTTTGTCGCCGGCATGCGCCTCGTCGCCGGCGCGGGCGACCCGACTCTGAAGCAAGGCATCGGCATGTACGTCTACGCCGCGGGCCGCAGCATGGACTCCAAGGCGGCATTCTACTCGGCCGACGGCGACCTCCTCATCGTCCCGCAAGAGGGTACTCTCGACATCCGCACAGAACACGGCTGGCTCCTCGTCCGGCCCCTCGAGATCGCCGTCATCCCCCGCGGCGTGAAATACCAGGTCCACCTCCCCTCCGGCCCGGCCCGCGGCTACGCCCTCGAGCTCTACCAGGGCCACTTCACCCTCCCCGAGCTGGGGCCCATCGGCACAAACGGCCTCGCCAACGCGCGCGACTTCCAGGTGCCCGTCGCCTGCTTCGACGAGGACTTTGGCGCGACGGCGCACGAGGGGGATAATAACTACACCATCACGGTCAAGTTCAACAACGACTACTTTTCCGCCACGCAGCCTCACACGCCCTTTGACGTGGTCGCCTGGCACGGCAACTACTACCCGTACAAATACGACCTGGGCCGTTTCAACACCATCGGCACAATCTCCTACGACCACCCGGACCCCTCTATCTTCACCGTTCTCTCGGCCCCGAGCGGCGTCCCCGGCACCGCCATTGCCGATTTCGTAATCTTCCCCCCGCGCTGGCTCGTCGCCGAAGATACCTTCCGTCCCCCCTACTACCACCGCAACACAATGTCCGAGTTCATGGGTCTCATCACGGGCGGCTACGACGCCAAGCGCGGCGGCAAGGGTGGGTTCGTCCCTGGAGGCGCAAGTCTGCATAATACCATGTCTGGCCACGGCCCGGACGCCGAGAGTGGAGAGGGTGCGAGGAACGCTGAGTTGAAGCCTGCTAAAGTGGGCGAGGGCAGCTGCGCCTTCATGTTCGAGAGCTGTGCCATGGTGGGTGTTACGGAGTGGGGTTTGAGGACGTGCAAGAAGGTGCAGCAGCAGTATGCTGAGGAGAGTTGGGGCGGGGTGCCGGTGCATTGGAAGAAGCCTGAGGGTGTTGTTGCTGGTGGCCACTTGTTGAAGTAGGAAAAGGAGGCGAGGAGATAAAAAGACAAGGCCGGGGTGGTGTTCAAGTTGATATTTGATGAAGTACAAGATCAGGGGCACAGCTGCCTCTATCCCCAGTACAAATAGCTACAAAAGCAAAGTGTTTGATCATATTTTCATCTTGTTTCGGTCCATGCTATTAAAACATCAAATCCTCTGTAGGCTCATAGACGGATGACGGGTTGAGAGAGTTAGGTTTCGTAGATTTCTGTGACGCAACGAATTCCCAAGCAGGGTGACAAAAAGCGGAAACCGTTAAGTCTACATTTTACTCACTCAACTCGACAAAAGCTCTGGCATGAAACTCAGCGATCAGACCTGCATTCCGGCCTCTCTTCAACATCGTGAAATGATTCGCCCCCGAGATACGATAGGCAACGGTATTCTCTTCGCCCCCAAGTAAAGCCTCCCACCCATTCGGCGCAAGACTGGTTCTATTCTCCAAGAGCCATCTCATCTCGCGAGGGTCCTCGGGATTCTTCTTTCCCCGAAATCTACGACGGGCTTGCGTTTTCGGGTGTCAAGAACTCGGCGCTGCGTTCTGGTCAACAACCCCACAATATCAGTACACGAACCCAGGCCGCCGTCACCTGGCGTATGGAGAGCAGTGGTTTCATTATTAGTGAGTGACAGAGTTGCATTGCGTCCTCCAGGTTCGGAACCTGCCGCATAGTATGTCCGCTTTTTTATCCGTTGTGATAGACTATAGCTGCCGGCTTGGCCCCGTCAGATGCATCGTTGACACCATAGTTGCTCCTTTCCGCAGTGTACTTTATATTTGGCGCAGTTGTCGCAACTCTCCCGGTAGCTCTCTGCCGCGTTCGGGCGAGGAGGCCTGGGGTTCATTGTGGTATATAGGGTTCCTCAATGCGTTTCTAATGTGCTAGAAAGGCTTGAGGATTGGATGTAAGCGCGTCTGGCACGTTCGCAGGCATGTAAACAGGCTACAGTTGAGACTATGGGCCTATCTTCCTAGTTCAAAGTGCCTCGTGAGTTGAGGAACTTGAGAAGTACCTTCTCAGAACTTAATCTAGCCTATGAAAGACTTTCGCAGAGACTTTGCCTTCCAAGATATCTCCCAACTGGTCCTCGTACCTTGCATCCCGGCGTGTAGGCTCGCGTTCCCGCTCTACAGAGCAGGAGCAATCCGGCGGCTACGGTTGGAAGCGCCCCAGTGTAGACTGACATCAAGCTGTTCAATGCTACATGCCGTAGATTTGATCGCTAGCTATTCATAGGGGGCCACGATTTGCATCTCGGAGAGATAGTGGCGGAATAGCAGGGCTAAGGTGAAAATAAACTTAAACGCATGATTATGCTCTGCACAATTGCAAGCGCTTTGTTTTCCTCTGATCAGAACCACGTAATCTTTCCCGCTGCCCATCATCTAAGCTCTTCTCGACCTCCAAAATGCGAAGTGATCTTTGCCACGAGGTAAGCTGACGCCCCCCCATCCCATCTCCGGCCGTTTCAACCACCTCGTCGGGCACACGCGACGAATCGAGTTTCTCCGCATAGATCCTCCGCGTACTTTGCTTGCAGAAGAGGATGAGAAGCGATCCTTGGGAATCTCAATAACGAATGAGATGTAGTTCCGTCGCTAGTTTCGGCCGGAGATTCTGCAAGATGGTGTATCGATCCTGGATTGAGGGGTTCGCTTCAGGCATGTTTTCCGACGGTGCCTCGGTCTTTTCAAAGTATTCCTCGGTCGACCAATTACGTTGTTTTCTGAACAATCGTCAGTGATGAAGACCAGTAAGCAATAAATCAACCTACTTATCTAGGTATATAAGCAAGCTGACATGACGCTTTCTGGCAAGACTCAGACTTCCATCTAGACGATCATATCCCAGTTTCATCTCACTGTTGACCAAACCTTCAAGCCTGCGATCTTACTCGTGGTTCTCAAAATGTCCAGTCAAACACCATACAAACCCCTCCCGGCACCCCGGCGCATAGTCACAACTCACAATGCCGCAGGCCAAGCAATCCTCACCACCGACCTCGCCCCCGAACTCCCCAAAGCATCCGTCCCGGGAACAGACCTCTACCTGGCCTACACCTCCCCCTCTCTCCCCGCTCCGCTCCCCGAAGACGCCGATCTGAACGCTTACAAGACCCACCTTACCTTGAAGCCGCCCCTCGAAATCGGCATCGACATCCCCGGAGGCCTCGCCGCCCGCGTCGTTGACTTCCTCCCCGGTGGATCCGGCGCGCCGATGCATCGGACCGAAACCCTGGACACGGGCGTGCTTGTCGAGGGGGAACTGGAGCTCGTGCTGGACAGCGGGGAGACGGCTATCCTCAAGAAGGGAGATGTATATGTGCAGAGGGGCACGATGCACGGGTGGAGAAATGTGAGCGAGACAGAGGTGGCGAGGCTGTTTGTTGTGCTTACTGCGGCGGAGATGCCTGTCTTTGGCGGGGAGAAGCTCAAGGGGGTTATGCCTGTCCCTCCTACTGATTCGTAGGCCGAGTCCGCGTAGTGCCGGTTGCGGAGTCTTTCTCGTATCTTTCGATGAGTGATGAAAAAGTTGCGAAAGAAGACCTTTCGATCTATAGGTGTGGCTTTTATCTAGGACTCTGGAGGGAAGCCTAAACCGTCGCCGATGAGCTCCACGGTAGCTTTGACGCACTGCAGTCATTCAGAGTAGTAACGAAGGTGCAGAATTGAGCATTGTCGATCTTTTGGAGTTCTCAAAGTACCTAGTAGAACCAAATGTCCATGTTGTTATATGAGTGACCAACATCTTTGTCCCTATTACAGCACGCAGGTGCGATAAATCTTTATGGCTGTTGACCCGCAACCTCGATCTGGGCCATCCCTGACCGGCCTGTAGGCTGTGTGAAAGTTGCACTGGAAAACCAATATGCTTAAGAGTTTCATTTGCAGTAAACATTAAATATCGTATGGCTATCTCAAACTTCGGGGTATCTAAATCTTCTCGCGGCAGTATCCGGTCGTAGCACCAACCGATTGGCATTTCTGTGTGGCATTGATCAGTGACTTTGTCTCCTCCAAGATCATCGTGTCAACTCACCTTGGTCCAATCGCAGTTGTTAATGGCCTTGGAGGGAATGAAGGCGAAGAACGACTTCTTGTATCGGTGGCACTCTTTAAAGTTCTGCCCATAGTATCCTACTTTTCCGGGGTCCACGCAAGCCTTGACGGTGTCTTCGTCCCAGGGGATGTTGTCCTGCAGTCTGCCCTCGTACATGAAGTTGCTTCTCTCGCACCTTTTTGTAGTACAAAGTCAGCAAAGGGCACTTGGAAGATTTGTAGGGGTGATGCAATCTACTTACCAGCAAGTCTTGTACTTGGCGCATGCCTCCGTAGAGGTGATGGCGACCGCCGCGATTGCAGCTAGGAGCGATAACTTCATTCTGACTTTCGATGGCCGCAAGAATAAGCTCTCAATACGGATAGAGTTGTTGGAATTTAGCTTCAAGCCTTCAATAGCCCAAAAGTCTCCTGGGGCAGAAGAGACCGAGAGTGTATTGATATAGCTTCGACATTGTGCGAGATGTGGAAACGAGTCAGTAGTCTCCAGAGCTACTATCATCTGAGCGGGTGTCAAATTACACCATGTAGTACAGTGGGTTAGCATGACTCGATACGAGATTTGGTCGCCTACAGCGCCTGTGTTTTTGGAAGCTTAAGCTTCTAACATATATTGCTCTAGATGAGAGAGCCACTGAAAGCACCGATGATCCGGCACGTTTGCGGCAATGATCATGCTACTCGTGCAAGTGGAAGGCCGTGTTGTCAAAAGACTGTTGGCGTTTCCGTGCGGACCAAGCCTACCCTTGCAAATAATAGTCGGCCCTCCGGCACGGTCAGCCGGGCGGCGCGGATGCCGTTGATGACTGTTACCAATCGGCGGGGCTTATGTCTTTGCCTTCATCGGCTTACCAGCAATTGACGCCGTCGGGCCGTATGGTATTTCGCAAGGAAATCGCGATAGTCAAGATTGAGCGCCTGCTTCGATGCCCTCCAGCGCAGCGTGCGAGGAACTTATTACGGAAGGGTTTAATGGCGACAATAGGATAACAAGTCATTAACTCTATTAACATAGTAGTTTGGTCATTACTGAGGTTCATGTCTACTCAAGAAAAATGAAAGAAAATTCTATCCTTATCTAACCCAAACATTTCATAGCCTATTTCTTTTTAAGGCTTGCTAACTTGCTCCTTTCTGAAGAACTTGAAGTAACCAATGCAAATAAACAGGTTGAGCAAAAGCACAACCCAGAACCAGGCGTTGGCAAACGCGATGCCCAATCCTTCGCTAATATCAGGGAAAACAGGACCCGGACCGACGTTATTAGGCGCGGTGGCGCGAGCCAACATAGTAAAGATGGAACCCAGAACCTGAGCGGCGACACAGGCCGCCGCGACGTGCACACGGGTAAGCGTCAGCATGAGAATCATACCGATACCCGCACCCTGGAGACCGTCGAGGACGCCGAGCCACAGCCAGAGAACACGGCTGAGGACGGCACCGGCGACGGCGCTTCCGGCCCACGGCATCCAGAGACCGATGCGGGAGGTACCCCACCAGATCTGGGCCCAGCGCGGGGCGCCGAGACCGACGGCGAACATGGGGAACAACCAGGGGTGGCTCTCGCTGGCCTTGGCCAGGCCCCAGAGGACAACGGCCCAGACGATGATGAAGAAGAAGAGGGCGAGGATGACCATGCTCCAGACGGGCACGTGCTGGGACGCGAAGAGGAAGAACCAGTTACGTCCGAAGAGGGTGCTGAGGAAGTAGTTCTGGATGCAGACGGCCATGAGGTACCAGGCAATGGTCTTACGCTTCATGAGTGTCTTCCAGAGCTGGGGGATGGGGCCGGGGGTCTGGCGGTAGAAGTCGGGCAGGCCGAGGTAGAGGATAGCGCCGATGGCCCAGAGGAGGATGGCGACGGGAAGGCAGATGCCCAGGAGAGCGGGCTTGCCGGCGAGAGTGGGCTTGGCGACACTGTTGGCTTCGGCCTCGGAGACCAAGCTACCCCAGGCCCAAAGACCGAGAGTGTAGATCTGGGTGAGACCTTGGATGATGGCAAGACGCTGGATCCACTTGGGAACGGTGGAACCACCATCGGTACCGAAGTTGAAGGCGAAGGCGAGCGATCCGGAGGACGAAGCAAAGGCGTAAAGACCAGTGGCGGCGTTCTGAAGCCAGACCATTGTGTTGTTGTCGCCAGCGAAGGGAGAGCAACCGAGGACGAGGAAGGCGATACCGTAGACGGCGTAGGGTGCCGAGAGCGGGTAGAGCAGAGGCATGGTGCGCGATAGGACGTACCAGAAGACGGACGAGACGAGGTAGATGGTGGCGATGATGTAGAGCTTCTCGGCGGTCTGGCCAACTTCACCGGTGAGAAGGGTCACCTGGTAGGAATTGGTGGCGATGACCTGGTTAAGGGCCAGGAGCATCGCGTAGACGGGCCAATCGCCGACGCGATACTGGAGCCACTTCCTGACGCCCGTGGGCGCGACATAGTCCTCGGGGAGATCGAATTGCGCGTTGTAAGAGCCGGGCGAGTCGGGGGGTGTCCTGCTGTCGTAGGCACCGTTCGGGTCATCGGCGGCCATGCTATTCATCAATCCGGACTTTCTGGCGCGACCACGCTCGAGAGGCAAGCTCAACTTGGAAGAGGACTTGTTCTTGAACATGCCGAGACTCAGGCGGGAAGCGTTGGGCGAGGAGGCTCTGGATCTAGATTGTCCTCTGGCCGATGAGGGGGACGCGGAGCGACCCAGTCTGGCGTCGAGGTACATATCGAACCATTCCTTCTCGGACTTGATGAGGTAGTCCTCAATGCAGAGCTCAGAGATGGAGTTGCCGGCGTTGAGGGCCTTGAGCTTTTCCTCAAAGTGCTCGTAGAATTCACCCTTAGAGTCAGTGAAGAAGGGATCGACCTGCTGAAGCTTGTAATCATGTCTGTCACCAACGACATCCTCGACACTAAGCATGGAGGCTCTCGAAGAGTTGTCCTGCTGCATGCCCAGACCGCCGCCCGGGGGCGGGAGAGGCAGAGTGTCGGCCATGGAGAAGCCAGAAACATTACGGCTGTGGACTCCATCCTGGCCAGCCTGTCCGGGAAGAGAGAAGTTGCGGCTGTGAGTATCGGAGATGTTGCGACCATGTTCCATCTGTCTGCCGAAAGGCCCAGGAGAGTTGGCGCGAGAGCCGTACGGGGAGTCGACATAAGCGGGAGACGGTGACATGGAAGGCGATCCGGGAGTGCTGGTGTACATCATGGGAGTCTGCATGCCAACGGGAGTCTGCATGCCGGCGGGAGTAGTGCGACCAGTGTGGAGAGTAGTGCCATCATCATCGTAGTCGGAAACCTGGCGCATCCACGCGGGGGATCGGTCGACGAGCTCGACTTCACCGCGGAGAGGCTCTTGAATGGAACCGGGACGGGTCTTCTTGACGAGGACATTGCCCTTCTTGAGACCCTTCTTACCGTACTTGGCGTGAGCGCTGATACAACCCTGCTGAAGCTTCTCGAGCTTCTCGAGCCACTCGGCGACGGGGAAACGTTGCTTGGCGGACCAGGCACGCATCATGGCTCTGGTCTTGGTATCCGTGGCGAGAGCATCCTTGATGGCGTGCTTGAACTGCTTCGTAAGATGGGCGGCCTTGGTCGATTCGACCGTGTACCACCAACCGGGCATTTGACCGAGACCACCGACGCGGGCACCGACACCCAAGGCACCCTTCCTGCCGAACTCGACAGCGACCAAACCGAAAGGCTCATCTCTGGAGGGGATCAGGGCAAACTCGGCACCGCTGAAGATGTAAGGCGGGAGAGCAGTGAATTCGGGCTTAGAGAAGACACGTCCGGGGTAGAGTTCCATGAGCTTGGCAAGCTTGAGAGCAGCGAAACGTCCGTAAAGATCAATCATGGGGCCAATAGTGATGAGCTGAGCCTTGGGGTAGTTATCGAGAACCCAGGGGAAGATATCTGCGATGAGGTCGACACCCTTTTGCAGGGACCAACGTCCGACGAAGACGAAGAGCTCGGCTTCAGGGTCCACGTTGAGGCCAGCCCACTCCTGGGCCTGGCGTCTCAACTCACCACGGCCGGCCTCGTAGGCGGGGTCGACCTCGATCTTGGGCTGGTTCATGAAGTCGTTCTTATCCCAGTCGGCGGTATCGGTAGGATCGGGGTTAGGCAGCTGGCCGACCTTGTTGAGACCCCAGAAAATGGGATAACGAGCGAAGGAACGATCACCGTATTTGCGGGAGACACCGACAGCACCGAATCCGTTCTGGTGGACGCGTAGATACGAGGCACCGGCGTGAAGAAGGTTGAAGACTAGATAGTTGTCAGCAGCTGGACGTGGAGTTTTCTGATGGAGCGTATTGTCTTACCTGAACCGTATTGGACGTATTTCTTGACAATGTCGATATCCAAGTTGTAAGCCTTGCACACTTCGGCGCTCTCCTCGGGGGTACGCATGGGCCAGAGACCCTGGAACTCGGCGTTGTGAAGCGAAAGGGCAACGGGAATGGTCTTGGGCAATAAGTAGAGAGGAGCGATGGAACCGTGATAATCGTTGATGTGGTACATGTCGACGGGGAAACGGTTGCAAGTCTCGGCGATACATTGGTTCCTTCAAGGCGTGTTAGCATACAGTCGTCTAGGCGGGAGGAAGATCATCACGAAAACTTACCACGCAGAGTAGTAGATAGCAGACTCCAAGTCGTCCATACGCGGGGGGTAAGGCTCAGACTTGGTCTGCTTCCTGAAGACAGGCGCATCGAGCAGAACGTAGGTGATGTTGTCCACAATGTGGTACTGCACCTTAATCTCGTACTCCTGGTCCATGATCTTGACGTACATGCTCGGCGCAATCTGATCGATGGGGTACTCGATATCACCGACACAGGGAACAACCCACACGAGGTTCTGGTGCTTGAGGGCCTTACCCATCAACTGGGCCATGACACCCAGACCACCAATCTTGATCTTGAGGTTCCAGTCGTCAATGTTGTACTCCATCGTCGCGATCAGCACCGTCTTGCGCTTGTTGCCTGCGGTAGCGGCGGCGGCGGCGGTGACGAGGTCGGTCGAGCTGCGCATGCTGAGGGGGATCGCACCGGCGGCGCCCATGAAGACATTGCGGGTCTTTTGGATCATCATGTTGAACTTAGACTGGTCGTGGACACCGTGCTCGTTGAACTTAACCTTGTAGAAGGAGCGCTTGAAGGCCTGGACGGCGGCGAGACCGGTGAGGACGGGGACGATGAAGAGGAACAGCCAGAGGAAGAACTGGATCCACATGTTTCCCTGGGGGATGAGCTGGTACTGGAAAGTGGCATCGTTGAGGACGACCTTGTAAGCAAGGTACGGCGTAGGAGGGTGGCCAGTGA